TCAATAGAATACAGCAAAATATGAATTTTAAGGGGACAAGAGTTAAATAATTTAATAATTTTTCTGATGTCTAAAGAACAATTATTTCCAAAATGCACTTTATTCTGATTTTAAAGAACGTTTTTCAGACAGTGTTAGTATTAGAAGAGTGTTTTACACTCCATGGATCAGTGATATAAGCAGTACTCACAAAGGACTCTAAGATGGAATAAGTTGTTTGCTTAACCACTCACTATAGAAATTCTGCAGTAAACATATGGCTCCAGAGAAAGGGCAGTATTTTTGACATGACTAGAACAGATCTTATTAATTAGAATGTGGTTTGAAAGACCTCCAATGGAAATGGACACTCATGATTGCCACTAGGCTTTCAGATTATGCAATCAATTCTAACATCTCTGGCTTTGACTTCCAAAGCAGCCTCTGAGAAATAGTTCGCAAAGCAAAATTGCAACCTCCTGCAACACAGGAAGATGCTGGATATAGAGCAGGGCTCAGTGCCTGGAGGTACTAATGACAGGCTAATGGTTTTAATACACTGAAAAAAAGAAGACAAGCTTAGAGCTAATATAACATATTAAAATACTTCTCTGAACCTAACAATAATTATTAAGCATCTACTATCAGACACTGTATTCAGTTAAAGACAAATTCATCTATCAACTAATTATATCCTTCCTTCCATCAAGACTGCTGATCCAAGTGTTTCATTAGACTGTCTTCAAAGGTAGCTCACCATTTTAGTCTCACTGATAAAAATATTGAAATAAACCGCTATGGCAAATCCAATACAAATATTACTATGATTAATTTTAGTTTTGTTTTTCTATGTACAAAAAAATTAAGTTTATTTTAGCTAAACTTAGGCTTTAAAGTTCCAATTTTTATTTTTACCTGAATAGAGAAACAGTGATTTCACAGCTGTAGCTTTTTTAGGATTTTTAAATTAAATATTCTTCACATACAAAAGAAGAATTTGGATCTCTACCACACACCACATACAAAAATTAACTCACAGTGGATTAAAGACCTACAAAAAGCTAAAACTTTAAAACTCTCAGAAGGAAATAAAGGTGAAAATCTGCATGACCATAGACAATAGTTTTTTAAATAGAACACAAAAAGTATGTGGCATCAAAGGAAAATATGAATTCGACTTGTCAAAGGATACTATCAAGTGAAAAGACAATCCACAAAATGACAAATTTTCAAATTTTATGTGTGTTCAGGGGCTTATATTCAAAATAAATGAAGAGTTCTTATAATTCAACAATTAAAAAGTAACCCAATTTAAAAATGTGCAAAGGCTATGAATAGTTATGACTCCGAAGAACATATACAAATGACCAATAAGCATATGAAAAGATACTCAACATAATTAGTCACTGGGAAAATGCAAATAAAAACCATAATGATATACACTTGACACCAACTTGTATATTTATATTTTTAAATATAAAATAACAAATGTTGATGAGATTGTGCAGGCATATCACTCACACATTCCTGGTGGGAATATAATGTATGCAACCAAAATGGTGCAGCAACCACTGTTCGAAACCAGTTTGGCAGTGCCTCAAAAACTTAAACATACAATCATCATACAACCCAGCAATTCCTAGGTATATAACTGAGAATTGAAAACATATGTTCATGTAAAAACTTGTATGTGAATGTTCATTACAGCATTATTCATAACAGCCAAAAAGTGGAAAGAACCCAAATATCCATCAGCTGATGAATGACTAATATGTGATAAATCCATAGAATGGAACATTATTCAGTCATAAAATGGAATGAAATACTGTCACATGCTATAACACAGATGAACTTTGAAAACATTATACTAATTGAAACTAGACACAAAGGGTCAAAATATTCTAGGATTCTATTTATGTGAAATGTCTAGAATAGGTAAATCCACAGGGTTCAAAAGTAGATTAGCAATTGATAGAAAATAGAAAGTGGAGGGAATTGAGACAAAATGCTAATAGGTAAGGAGTATCTTACTGGGAAGATGGAAATGTTCTGGAAGTAGATACTAGTGATGGTTGCACAACATAGTAAGTATACGAAAAATCACTAAGTGTGCCCTTTATAATGGTGAATTCTGTGTTAAGCATAGCATTAAATATTTTAAATAAAATTTATTCTTCAACAGTATTAAAACATTTTCAATATGCTTAACTATACCATCTTGGAAAGACTTTTATAGAGAAAAGAATTATATATAGTAACTATAAAAATGTTCCTTCCATTTTGCTTTTACCAACTTAGAATAATCTAAAAAATATTATGGCAGAAGAAAATTTTAATTATGATTAAAATAGTTATGCATCTTAGATTATCATGCTTAACACCTGAAACTTTCACATGGACGTTAAGACTCAAGGCCTCAGTTACCTGCATATTTGAGGGAAAACAGCCTTCTCCAAATAAAAAGGACACCTAATACCTTAGAAAAATAGTTGTGTACATTTATTCATATGTATCATAGTGTCATAGATCGTGAACTGCCTCAACCTTTTTAGTTCATGAGATTTCAAAATCAGCAAACACCAAAGGGCACTTAACTGATGGAAATAATGATTGTCTTCATCATGAAGATACAAATATGTTCAACTGGACCTTGAGGCATTGTACATTCTTTAGAACTCTCAATTACAGAGGGAGAATTTTCTTAGAAAAAAAGGACATTTCATAGCTTCAATGATGTTGATAATTTACTAATAATATATCACAATGTACATTTAAAAGTGGTACGTGCTTTGTGGGAAAGGCACTTCAATTCATTCAGGTAATGGCAGTTTGTAAACACCAAGCTTTTTTTACTTGTATCAATTCCTGTCAATGTGGTAATTTTATCTAAGAATAAAGACCACTTTTAAATTGAGAAAATAACATGTAAATACCTTCAGAGATTAAAAAGCTATGGCTTATACCATTAATTCATTAAGATTGTGCATACTATACCTGACATATTTTCAGAATAGCCAACACCTCTGCAACTTCATCATACTGAACTACCTAGATTTCTCCTATTTCTAGATGAAATGAGCATGTCTTAGAAGAAAAAACCTTTCTCATCCTCCAATCAACCCTGATTTATAAAAAAAAGGCTCTGTCTAGAGCCAAAAGCTGAAGTTCCCATAACTATCAGCTTCCAAGTCATGTATGGAACATGAGGTCCCAGAAGCTACCGTTGAACTCCTCACATACCTGTCTTAAGCATCCCAAACTGTTGGGAAGACAAACATTGGGAGTGTTATCCCATTCCCACAATCAGAGAAGTCTTATTTCTCTGTCACAAGCTAAGCTTTTGAAGCTCTAAATTCCACTCTCCCATCTTTATATCTAAGAATAAAGCTGAAGGAAAACTTGAGTTTATAATGGGCCTTGGTTCTCAAGTATTTAAAACATTTTCTTCAGGTCAATCTTGATCTTATTAGCACATAAATCGGAAAATGGTGGGTGAGGGGCATATTTCATAAATTAGCTCACTAATAAACTGCTACTGGTTGCGGGCACAAAGACCGCTGACCTAAATGAAATAAAGGTGAGTTAATGACAACTGAACCATGTCATGTGTTTCACTGACATATTAATGTTAAATTGTTTTATGAAGTCCCAAGGCATTCGAACATTTCTTTTCAAGAATTCTTTTTATTTTAATTTTTTTAAAAACTTTGATATTCTTTTCAAAAACTTTTTTCTTTTTTTTCCTGAAAAAGTTACCAAAACCTGTCCTCATAGTCTCTAGAACTTATAAATTCTTAATCAACTCTCCTATGCATTATTTTGAATGTCAAATCATAATAAACTAAGTCCTATGAACTATTTATATGTAAAATTGTAAGTTAGTAACTTAAGAGAACAAGTAGTCTTTAAAAGAGACTTACTGTATCTTGTAGCTTTTGCCTATAAGTATTTAAATTTTTACTTGCTATTTAATGCTGCAAGAGATGGTCTACGGTAGTTCACAGATCCCCCCAACCAATTCCCACAGAAACTTCTGTATAGAGAAAGTGACAATGGCAGCATTGAAGATAAGGAGAAAATCTCTTTAATACGAAAACATAATTTTCTTCTTTTCTGTTAATTAAAATACCTGTTGCTTTGCCTCAATCGTATGTAGAAGATTGTTGCTTGCATGGAATAAATATGGGAACGAACATATTTACATTTTTAAAAAGAATTATAGCAAATAAATGAAAAATGTGAATGGGTATTTAACTAATCTATGTTTACTAGACTCTTCTCTAAACAATACTAGGTCACATTATCTTGAACAGCTAAACTTTTAAAGGATAAGAAATAATATTATGATATTATTATGTAGAAACTCAGAAAGATGGGGGGAAAACATATAATTAGTTTGTATTGAATACTGTTTTGACCATCATTCAATAAGAGACTATCATAAAGCTCTATTGTGAATGAGGCATGACTAGAAAAAAAGTTTGCTGATTTAGTTTTAAAGGCAATGAAGAAAGAAAAATGCTCTTATATGTTACTATAAAAATGGGATAATAATATGTGTTATTTTGCTCGGCTACAGATGCTGTTACTAGAGGTAACCAATATATCAAACCCAAGTTTCAAACAGACTTTAATTTTACAGTTAAACTATTCTAAAAAATATGAACACACATGTAAACTGATACATTAAAAAATGCACATATAATAACCCCTATTTTAAAAAATGTTTCATTGGAAAAGAAATTTGTTCATATTCTTCTTCTAATAAAGCCTCAAAGTACATGAATATTTTCTGTAGTTATTTATATGTAGTACAGGAAGTCTATAATACAAGTTTATTTCTTTCCTCCCTACATTAATGTTACATGGTGTATTACTGAACAGATTCATATGTATACAAAAGGTTAAATTACTTACTTTTTTCTATTTGTAAGGACAAATATACATGTGACTTTCATTAATATAGCAGAAAGAAGCTAGACAATGACTATTTCCAGTATTACATAGTTCATCCTACTTACTGTTGAAGAACCCAGTGCAGATTTTGGAGACCTAATTATTCCAGCAATTGAATGACGAATAGATTCAAATTTGGACAGCCTTTCCTTTCTTTCCTGGAAAGATTAAGAAAGAAATCCTCAGTAGTAATAAACTATCCAGTATATATCCAATAATGCTAGTTATTGAGATCTTTATCCACAGCTCATATCCATCCACCATGTCTCCCAACTAAATAAAATATAAACTTCTTGCCATTAAAGATGACATAATCAAATGCATATTAACTCTATAGCATCTTCATTTCCTGGTCTTGCAGTAAATGTCTTGATTTGGGGAAAAAAATTAAGAAATAGAAATTCACGAGATGAGAGAAAACAAAAAAATGCAAAGAAAATTCACATAAAACCAAGCATTAAAATGCAGGAAAAAAAAGACAAAGACACAAGCTAAAAGGTACAGTCTAACATAGAAGATTTCAGATAGCACTGTACCTGTGAGGAAACGTCAAGAAAAAAAATAGGGAAAACACAGGAAGAGAACTATATAGAACACATTCTTTAAACAGTGAATTCCACTTAAGTAGTTAGGAAGTTTCCCAAAAATTCACATGGTGACAATGATGATGATGATGACAATGACCTGAAGGAGATGGTGACAGAATAACCTCTAAGGCAAGTCAATCCAGGCTGCCGTTTGCTATAGGATGTATGTTTCTGAGTATCATTTATCACAGTTGAAGGAAACCTTTCCTTAAAATTTCAGATCTTTAGATTCAAATGCAAATGAATGGGGTAGGTTAGATGGCAAAAAAGAAGAGAAAGAACAAAAATGAGAACTGGAATGTAATAAGGAGTATGATGGCAAAGCATGTGTGAGGCATCTGTAATGGAAGCATTGGTCAATTTTCCAATAATGACCACACTTCAACCGTTAATCAGCAGGAGACAAAAGAACATGAGATCCTATTGCCAAGCACTGTATTTCCATGTCTTCCATCAGTAGTTATACTCAACTTTACTCATCAGTGGAAAGTAACTAAAATAGGCCTCAAATAACATCTTTTGTTCCCTTTGTCTCTAATATCTAGAGTATGTCTAGTAAATGTAGGCATTTTTGGCCATATGCTACCTGATAAACAGTTTCTGAAATTCAAATCTTGTTTCTCCTCTTGTCTACTCCCACTTTATTTACTTTTCATTCTAATGTTGCAGGGCTAATAGTTATTATCCTATAAATACACACATACTAATCATTTAAAATAATCTTAGGATAACCTTATTACAAATAGGTGATCTCAAATTCTTTTCCATCACCATTATCACTTACATTACTAACTTACTTATGATACTATGTAAATCACTATCTCTTCCTCAATTTGACCATCTATAAAATGGAAAAAATTAAACTTTGCTCAAAGGTTACTAACAAGTAAGTTACTATAAGTGATTAAACATTAACATGTTAAAGGTACATACACATTTAGTAAAATTTACTTTTAAGAAATAAATCTTTAATGTAGTACAAATGGTCATCATCATAGAAATGTGAGCTGATATCACAGGAATGTGAGCAGTCTATAGCCTTAATCCTAGCTGTAGCTTCATTTTATTTTTTAGTAAAAAATCACAGTAATGGAGCCACAGGAACTACTGAAGGAAAGACATCCTTGAAGTACTGAAGAGTAGAGTGGCCTTTCTTTAAAGCATGTCCATCTTCAACCTCAGTGTTTGGGAATTTTTTTCAAATATATTTCTGGTACTTATGAAGTCTTCTGAAATAAAGACATTTGGGGAGGTAAAAATTGATAAAGGATATAGCTAGGATGTGGAGAGTGAAAGAGTTGGGAGTAAGGCATACATGGCAGTTGTTTTGTAATTAGATTTATAAAGAAATATATTATGATGGTGTAAAGCACACACATTGGCAAACACTGTGTTAGCTGTAGTTTTTCTACTCCCAGACCTATCTGTCCATTTTCTTACTACTCTGGAGCATTTCTGCCCCTGACGGAGTGGCTGTGGAGGTGGCAGTGGTGTTAATCATCAGTGACGCTGATGTTGATATTGCTGCTGATACTACTGATGGGAAGATGAGATCAAAGTGCTGACCTCACCTGTTCGGCAATGAAAAGCTTCACAAGAAAGCACCAGGCACCTCTACTGTGAATTTAGACTGCTCCTCTGACTCAAACTTCTTAGAATACTAGAGAGAGTATGGCCCCAATGTAGGAGTATTGTGAACACAGAACTGAAAATGACATGGGAGGTTATGCAGAAAAGTAGAACATTCAGGGACAGTTTTAGGTATTAGGAAGTATTTTATCTGTAAATGATTTAATAATATTCACGGACATAGATAATAACTCTACTTAAGCTACATGTTGAGCATCAAACCCTATGGAAGGAAAGAGAACCATTTCCCCCAAACCCTTTGATAATATGAAAAAAGAAAGTATGTTCTTAAGAAGCTAATATTAATAGATCTAATGAATAGATCCAGGTGTGGGGTAAAGACTTCAAAAATTGCTTCCTTTATATTAAGATACAAAGCACAATATATTGTGTGTTAGGAGGGATACAATTAGTGAAAGTACTCTTTCATTTAAAGGTTCATTTTATTTTTTTTTAATTAAGTGAGGCAGGGTCTCTCTGTGTATGTGTGTGTATGTGTGTATGTATGTATGATACTATTTCATAATAATTAAAAGTTTACCTACTATCAATTTAAAAAACTCCATAAGAAATAATAACTAATTACTCACAGTTCAAGTAAAACTATACCTATCAGGTAGAGAAGTTACTCTCACTACAACTCCCAAATTGCAGCAAGACAGACTCTCTGGTCACCTCAGGTTCTGATTGACTAAGGATGTAAAATGTAAGAACTGAGGTTTTGCTGGTTAGAAACTTTAACAAAAATTAACTCTTCTAGATGCTGTAGTAGGCTACAAATAAACAACTTTAACCAAAAAGCACCTAACAGTTCTCAAAGCAGGGCTCTTAAAGGAGGCACTAAAGTAGAAGAATAGGTACATGATGTCAGAGGGATAAGGAGTATAAATCTGGGCAGATTATTTAAGTACCCTGGTTCTCAGTTTCCATATCAGTAAACAGGAGGACACTGGACTAGGTAAAATCTTCATCTCAAAAACTGCATGACCATCTCCAACTCCCCAATCATTTTCATTGCCCTGAAGAGTTCCATGCGTCAGGTTGGCCGCCAGAGTTAACTTCCCTTAGAGCATTTTTGTCACATTCTGCTGGAGGCAACCTTAGAACCTGACTTCCAATGGGAAGGTGTGCTTGCTGGCACACTTTACTTGCTAAAATGAGTCATTAAAACAATAACCAAGTATTATTTCTCACAGACTTTGTAAATAAACCCAATCTAATAACATTCTTAGAAAAAAAAATGAAAAGTGATTAATTGGTCCACTAGGAAGAGTCAGATATTTATTCAAATCAGGAGGCAATAAGAATCAAGAAACAGATAACAATATTCATGCTCAAACTCCACGCTGACTGCCAAATATCTTTAGGGCCACTTATGTAAGGCAACTATGAAGTCTGGAGGGACTTTGTGAGAAAAAACTACAGAGAAATTATAAGCCAGGGAAGCCTGTCTCCTGAAAAAAATTCTATGCTGTTGACTCCATAATGTAAATGAAATACTCCAAATATCGACAAGTCCTTCATAAAAGGAATGCATTTATCAATAAACAGATACCTGAGTCTTTTGCTGATGTTAATTTGCTGAGGAGAATAAAGGATATACAATTTTTATTCCCATCAGGATATAGAACTTACATATTAGACAGTTTGTAAATAATTTATTTTAGTGACCAGGTTCTGACTGAAGACAAATCATTTTAGAGGTATTCACTGCTTAGTAACCTAGTTGTCATACTGTCTTTTTAATTTGATGCTTGCATATCAAGAACATTTATTAAAAGAAACACAGCCTCCCCCTTGCTAAGTCCAGCATTTTCATATTCTGAAATAATGAAATGGAAACCAAACATGCAAAAGGAACATCTGAATGATTATTAAGGTCTTTTCTTAATATAACAATGCTAGGAAATTAATGGTATAACAGAACAGAGTTTGATGATACCTAGGTTGTAAAATGTCATAGCATTCTTTTGCTTTCTTGACTCTATCTCTTAAAAAAGATGATGCCTGTAGGAAAACAAGACCCAAGCAGAAGGTTATAATCAGCTCCCTTTCTATTCAGTATTTAGATACAATTCATTTTCCATGGTGCTTTTCTCAAAATGTATGAGCAAAATGGCCAAAGATATTCTTTTTATAAATTGTCTAGTGCAAGATGCACACCAACCAGGTTCATTATGAGGAACAATTTAAGTGCTGACTCAGTAACTTAAGTACTGATAGGCTCTGTTCAGTAAACAACTGCACATTACAGTTTTTTGAAAAATCACAGTATTATGAGTTAAATTATCAAGACTCAACTGAGATTCTGCTTTTAAAACAATTAAGAGACATAAAAAGGGAATAAGTGTATTTTCTTTGGTTAAACCAATGAATTGCACAACAAAAGATACATTATAATGAAAGTATTATTTCACTAGAGGTATCAATGTCAAGCAAAGAAGGCAATTTACTAACTGCAGCCACACCCTCACAAACTCCCAAGTTCCTTATTCTATTTAACACATTATTTTAATCAGACAGAAATAACCCCTTTGCCATTTCCTACAGCAGCTGCTCGTGTCTTTCTCACAGCAGCTTCCTTACTTCTGTCTCTCCCTGATCTTTCCTCCCATTTTTTCCTTCTTTCTCTTCCCTCTCTCCCTTACGATGCTGAAAGCTTATAAATATTAGCTATTATTATTTTGATTTTACTAATACTGATAAGGACATTTGGGCTGTTTGTATCTGGCTGTTGTGAATAGTGCTATGAACATGCATACATATGTATTTGATTACCTGTTTTGAACTCTTTCAGGGATATATCTAAGAATGGATTGCTGAGTTATAGCATAATTCTAATTTTTAAACTTTGAGGAACAGCTAAACTGTTTTCCAAAGTGGCTGACCTATTTTACATTCATACATTATATGAAGCTTCCAATTTCTCCACAACCCTCACT